TTATAAAAAGTCACCACAGACAATGGGGGACTTGCTGGAGCAAATACACGGATGGCGATGGTCTCCAAGGAGTCGGTACCAGGTAGTGAAATCTGTTCACATTGGAGGCCATGGCGCACTAGAATAGCGACACCACCACCTCTACCCTTACGGGGGTGATGGAAATCACAATACCCAAGAATTTTCGTTGCCGTCGTACTCTGGTTCTTCGTCTCCTGGAGAAGGACAATGTCCGGTAGAAATGCCGAAAGACGGTGGGTAAGAGCCGCCTTTTTTAATGGTGAAAGGCCGGCGATGTTCAGTTGCCAACAAATAAGGCGTCCATTAGCATCGGGGCCAGGGTTCTTGTGGATGTCGCCACAACGAGTAATATCAACAAATTTGCCATCGCGAGACGGTCGTGCAGTTTTGATCAGAGAACCAAAGGATCTCTTCACCTCCCCAAATCGGACATGATCTGGAACCTTCTCGAGGGGTGAAGTCGTCTTGGTTTCTATCGCGCTCACTGCAATGGCCTGCAATGAAGTTCCTCGTAGCACTAAAAGCCCCAGCACCACGTCAAGGTGCGACTCCATCACTGGGGCAACACACACATCACACGGCCCATCATCATCATCATGAGAGAGAGACAAGGGTTTGTTTGGTTTGCGTGAAAACACTGATCTAGAAAGAAAGACAACCAAAAAACAATAAAAAGAAAATGAAATGAAGTATCAAACACGTTAAGACACACACAAATCGATTACCACTATGGAAACTCACATCGTGAAAGTAAAACCTACCATTTAAAGAATGCAATACAGCGCAATAACCTCATTAAGAGTGAAACAAAAACAAAAATAAAGCCCACACTCATAAATATCTCAAAAAAAGGCTAAACCACCCAGCAAAATCATCAAGCAAATAAAAACGATATTTCAACAATTAGCCCAATTTACCCAGTAAACACAAAGAAATACACACCAACTATGGGTACAAAGCTAATGTGTGTTTATAAACGCAATAATAAATATAAATTCATCCGTTATTATTATTTCTTTTTTACATTTCAAAAAGCAGTTCATCATCATCATCACAGTGCAATCCCACAGGCACACAGAGAGAGTCTTCAAGAACACACACACACACACACAATGGAGTAGCAATAATAATTATTATAGGATAAAAACACAGAGAGAGCAAAAGCACATTAACATTAAGAAACAAAAAAGAAGATAATCCCAACAGGTGGAAGATTAGTTAGACTGTAGTGTGGATGCATGCAAAAAAAGAAAAAGAAAAGAAAACAAAGGATGACCTGAGTCACACCACCACACCATTACAGTCAGCACACAAGAATACAGGCCAGTGTAACCACAATCAGTAGTGGTACACGCACCCACACAGAACTGCTGATACTGATGCTGCTGTCTGCATCACCCTTCTTGTTGTTTGTGAGTTCAGGAGGAAGTGTTGTTGTTGTTGTTGTTGTGGTGGTGGTGGTGGTAGTGGTTATTGTATTTTCTCCCGCATTTTGGTTGTTTGATGATTCATTCACTTCAGATGTAACGTCATTTCCACTCGTTATAGTTTCAGGTTCTCCATCGGGTTTTGACTCCGTACTGCTGGTAGATGATGGTGTAACGGTCTCGCCCTTGTTATCTGTACGTTCACTGGATGCACTATTATCGTTGTTTCCACTTTGACTGATAACTGTAGACGCAGAATTATGACCAGCAGGAGTAGCAGGTCTGTCATCAGTACCCTTTTGTTCGAGATGATCCTCTGCAACTTGTGGAGCAACATCAGAACCTTTATCTGATGCACTGGGAACACGACTATCATGTCCATGAGAACCAGGAGCAGCCAAATTCCCAGTTGAACCTGGCGTTGGCGGTGAACCAGAAGATAGTTGTGGTTGTAACGTTTGAGCAGCAGGAACGGAACCATGAGTGGTGGTTCTTTGAGTTACCCTACTATCTTCAAGAGCTTCAGGGCCTTCGACTTTTCCACCAGCAGCACCAGTAGAACCGTCTTTACCTGCGTTGCCAGCGGGACCAGGGGAACCAGGGTTACCCTTGCTACCTTTGAGAGGCTGAGCACACTCAGAATTATCAGACGGACCACCTTCAGGAGAGCAACCACCAACAACACCTTCAGCTGAAGTCAAGTCAGTAGCATCAGCCGCCACAAATAAAGAGATAATGCTCAAAAGCAACGCCAGAACAAACAACACACGATGAAGAAGCATCACGGCAGCAGTTCTTCTCCTTTTTGGGGGGTATATGAGCTGCACAAAGCAAAAAAAAAGCAGAGAACAAAAAGAGAATACAATAACCACAAGCACATACAGATGATGGCAACAGAGAGAACAACAACAAAACCAACAGTCGTACAAAACAACACCATCAGCAAAAATATCAACAGCCAAAACAAACAGAGCAGTGCACTCGAAAAATAGAGAAAAAAGCAATTAAAAGTATTTCCACAGCATTGTTAAACAAACAAATTGAGAAAACTATAGGTATGCCTAAATCAATACGCTATTTGGAATGTAAATATGTATCGGTTATTATTTATTCCTTCTACACGAAGAAGAACACCAAAAACGTTTGCAGGGCCAGAACACAATGACCCAGCAAATCCATAAGCAAATAAACAGATATTAACCATTAGCCCAATTTACCCAATAAACACAGAAATATACACCAACTATGGGTGTAAGTCTATATATGTGTATATACGCAATTATAAATATAAATTCATCTGTTATTATTATTTCTTTTTNGAACTCTCTTCTCTTTCAGTAGCGGCTGGCCCTGTTGAGACTTTGGTCTCTTCACTTTGTATATCATGTATGTTTGAGTCTTCCTGTGGTTGCCCTAATGACTGTGGTTTCTGTTCAGCATCATGTTTGCCTTCAGTGGATGCATATTCAGAAAGTGCTGGGGTCTGTCTACCATCTGCCTCTGGTCCACCTGCACCTGGTTGTTGGGCAGAGGGAAGCTCTTGTTGTTGTTGCGCAGAAAGAGATGCGGATGGTGGAGGAGATCGTAGTTGTCCATTTATCACGGAATTAACTGATGGGATGCTGTCTTCCCTATTTGTGGGGTTGTGGGAATCCTGATGTAATGCGTTCTCATTCTTTCTTCGATCTGAAGCCATCTGGTGTTCTTCTAACAATTCTTTCTTTTCTTCTCTCAAAACGCCAGAGCATAATTTAGAGTCCTGTTCCGCAAGTTCACTGCAGCTACCACACTTGTAAGATCCATTAGTAAGAAGAATAGGAACCGAAGGGGGGAAACAAATAACGAGCTGCTTACCATTATTTATAAAAGGTTTCGTTTGATCAGCCCATACTAACCCACAAGCACAACAGAGTGCAAGAGTTAGTAAACAGAGCAGATAACACCTCACCATTACAGCTTTTGTAATTGGTGTTGTTTACTTCAATATACTGATACAAGAAGAAAGAGGAAGAAAAAGGGACACACATAGTGAGTGGATGCAGGACACAAATACTCACAGTGGAAAAGAGAGAGAAACAGTAACAGCACAGTAAACCAACAAAAAGAATATCCCGCTTGTATGATAATAATATGTACCCCTTAATAGAAAAAAAGAGAAAACCCCACAATACCCAAATAAGAGAGAGCCAAACACACACACAATACCCCATGGCTCTAGTTTATGTATTAAATTACTACACACACACATCTGTGTGTACTAGCAAGAGATGTATACCGTCAGTGAGCAGAACAGCCCAGTTTTCTGCACACACATACAACGGGAAAAGCAAGTAATGGAATTATTAGAAAAAGAACACACAGACACACAAAAGTAAAAGAAAAAAAATTCCAATTAAAAGAGAAAGCTGGTAAACATATTATTAGTTCATTCACCCATGGGGATATACGCAATTATGATTATGTTAGGATAACCATTATTATTATTATTATTATTATTATTATTATTATTATTATTATTATTATTATTATTATTATTATTATTATTATTANAAATATACACCAACTATGGGTGTAAGTCTATATATGTGTATATACGCAATTATAAATATAAATTCATCTGTTATTATTATTTCTTTTTCTTTTTCACTGCAAAAAACCAGTTCATCATCATTACAGTGCAAGCCCAGGTGCACACACAGAGAAAGAGTCTCCAAGAACGCACACACACAATGGAGTAGCAATAATAATTATTATAGGATAAACATAGGGAGCAAAAACAGAAAAAACACATTAAGAAAAAGAAACAAAAAAAGAAAAGAAAATAGCCCAACAGGTGGAAGATTAGTTAGACTGTAGGGATGCATGCAAAAAAAGAAGAAAAGAAAACAAAGGATGATCTGAGTCACCCCACCATTACAATCAGCATGCAAGAATACAGGACAGTGTAACCACAATCAGTAGTGGCACACGTACCCACACAGAACTGCTGATACTGCTGCTGCTGTCTGCATCACCCTTCTTGTTGTTTGTGAGTTCAGGAGGAAGTGTTGTTGTTGTGGTGGTGGTAGTGGTTGATTCCTCATTATTGGTTGTACTTTCAGTGTCCTTTGTTGAATCACCCTCTGCAGGTTTCGCAGCATCATTAGTATTCTCAGCTTCACCATTATGACCTTGAGAAGTTTGGTTGTTGTCCGAAGACTGAGGTTGTTCTGTTGTATCGCTTTGGTTGCTCTGAGAATCTCTTGTATCTGTATTAGATACACCTGAAGATTCTGAGGATTGTGAACCATTCCCTCCGGGCTGTTGATTTCCGTTATTCTGATCAGCCCCTCCACTGATCACTGGACCTGTTGGTGATCCTTCAGCACTCACACCTTGATCGCCATTCTTCTCATTGTCATGCCCTCTCTCGTTTTTTTGTGGCACAACTGGTTGACTCACCGCTTGGCCTTTACCATGCGAAGTACCAGGTGGACCTGGAAGAGCATCATCCTTTGTCTCTCTCTGACTTTCCAACTGCTGCTGTTTTTCACTCTCCTCAGGACCAACACCAGACGCAGAGACTTGGGTTGAAATATCAGCACCACCAGCACCTGGAGCTTTGTTCGTTTTATTAGGACAGGACCCTGCAGTAGAAACACCAGAAACTGTATTGCAAGAGGTATCATCAGAGTTAGAAGAAATAGGAGGAGGAGGAGGTGGTGGTGGTGGTGGTGAACCAACCCTAGTTGGACAAGAAGTAGTATCCTCAGCACCTTCAGAAGCTTTACTGCACGTACTTTGAGTCTTCGAAACAATGGTAGTGCAATCTTCCTTCTTAGGAGGATTCCCACAATCCTCAGGAGAAGCTTCAGACTCACGTCGGTCGGTCTTACACGAAGGCTCAGAAGTACATTCTCCACCACCAGGAAGTACTTGTGGTTGACCAGGACCAGGAGAAATAACTTCACCCTTTGCAGGTTCACCAGCCGCCACCACACACATGCAGTGAAGACTGAGAAGCAAAGCTACAAGACACAAAAGACGTCGCATCAACATGGCAAATATAACGTTGTCTTGTTTTCGTTATCTGAACCACGCACCAAAAATAAAAGGGGAAAAATAAAGAAGAGAGAATCACACATTAAGACAAAAAAGATAATATAATGGAAAAAAAGAATACTTATACACAAAGGAGGGAAAACAAGAAAACTAAAAGTCCCAAAAAATAATATTCAGATAGATGTAACAATAATAAAACTATAAAATTTCTTTTCACACAAAATCCAAGAAAAACAAAGAAAAAAACATAATAACGCCATCATCAAACACATAGCACAGAAACCCATGCCTATGCTTGACTTCCTATGCAATCATGAATATAAATGTTTAACAATTATTTGTGTTGCCTCTGAAGAAAATGTATCAAAGCAAATGCAAGGCACAACACAAAACGTCCAAGAGAAGCACAAGCAAAGAAACACAGATATTAAATATTAGCCCCACGTGCCCAGTTAACACACAGAAATATACACCAACTATGGGTGTAAGTCTATATTTGTATATATACGCAATTATAAATATAAATTCATCTGCTATTATTATTTCCTGTTTTCCATTGCAAAAAGCAATTCATCATCATCATTATCACAGTGCAGGCCCAAGCACACACACACAGAGAGTCTCCAAGAACACACACACACACAATGGAGTAGCAATAATAATTATAGGATAAACACAGAGAGTAAAAACACACAAAACACACAAAACACAATAAGAAACAAAAAAAGAAGAAGTAACTCCCAACAGGTGGAAGATTAGTTAGACTGTAGGGATACATGCAAAAAAAAGAAAAAAGAAAAC